GTAAGAATCAACAATATATGTGTGTACGTAATTGCTTGTGTATTGTTAAGTAAAACTGAAATTTCTAGAAAGCATCCACACGCCCATAAATATAACCAACGCGCCGCGCCAAAAGAGAGTATTTATTATTAGTTTGCTAGAAAGTTTGGAAGCTATAACTGTGATTGTTATAACGCTCGTCAATCGGAAAACTTCAGATATTTGACCAGGAACTTTTACAAAGTTCGAACATTATAAATCATTTAACTTCAGTGGATTCATATCGGACTTTTGTACCTTTACGAATATTCTATATAACTTCAGCGGTAAAAGAAACTCGACCTGTAATCGGCGTGTGTAGCTGATAAATAAAGAAGGACAAAGCTAGCTAGCTCCCTGTTAAGTGAATTATACATACGTCAACTCGTAATCAACTTTCTCATCGTGAACCCTCGATCGGATATCGAAGAAGTTTCAGACTAGAAAAAAGACTTTATATTGCTTGTAAGTTTGTGAAACTTTTGTTTATAAATCTTTGTTTGTAATAACTATTTATAATAACTGTTATTGTAAATTGTACTGTTGTGTGTATATTAAAATATTTTTGTGTAAAAAAGGAAACTCTGTGTATCAATATTCTTGGCATATATCATAAACTGACTATATATTGGCTTTTACTTAACTGCTAAATCCAAAGTACAATTTAATTACTAAATCTAAATTACAAGTTAACTCAATTTCAGACTATTTGAAATTCTAATACATAACACTAATAAATTCTGAAAATGTTGTCATGAATTTTGAAAGTAAAGCTTTAATAGTTTCTACCCAGCTAATCAGTAATAGACTATTTCAAAAACGTTCAACAGGATAAAATTTTAAAGAAGGTATCTATAGTTTGTTCAGTATGTTTCTTCTATATGTCCCATCTGGAATACGAGTCAAGATTCTCCCGAACTCAGATCGAACACGGAACTGCCATCTGTGATCGGACCAAAAAACGAATAAATTCCTATGTAAAGGCGACTTCATTTTAGGGAATTTTAAACAGAACACAGGTTGATTTCTATGTACTTATCTCCGAACTGTGATTATACTTGATTTTTAGGTTTCTAAATAACATTCTGATGTTTCTAATATTTTAAACTGTATTAGGTTTTTAGCCATTTAACAGTTCCATGATTAAAACGTGTTTATATGTAAAATACACGTGTTTCACATTTCCAGTACACATTATATTAGCAAACACGTTAGCAAAGCACACTCTGAAAAGGATGGATTTTACATTGAAATTCTATTTACAAGGAGTGCATCAACCTTTAGCAATAATCTGTCGCATATATTTTCCACCAGCCATTCCTAAAGACCTAGTGAAGCAGACTGCCTCTCCCCATACTATATAACTAATGGGTCTTTGCCCTTTCTGTCCCCCAAGCATCTTTCAAAAATGCAGTTCAGTCGGATTCAGATCGTGATGGGCACAAAGTGAGGTAAGGCATGGCGAATTATGATAGTCTTCCATCAGTATAAACAAAACAGAACCACAACATGACACTTCATCTACAGTCATATCCAAAGCGTTTTCCGTGTTCTCATCAAACCTATCAACACAGACAATGAGTCTCATTACTCAAGTGTTACTTTCATCGTTCGTTATCGGAATCTCGTACATTCACAGCTGTTATATGTTTGTGAACTGCAGTCCGTCCATGTAATCTGTGTTTGTTTGTTTGTAATTAAGCCCAAAGCTACACAATGGGCTATCTGTGCGCTGCCCACCACGGGTATCGAAACCCGGATTATAGCGTTCTAAGTCTGCAGACATACCTCTGTGTCACTGGGGGCCCATGTAATCTATCAACATAAAACTCTTTATGAACAGTGGATGAGCTGCCATGTAGTTACGAACTATTATTAAAATTCTGGACGATGGAGTTTATGCCAGAAAAGCAGTTTAAATTCACATCACAACTCTTATTAAGGTTTCTTTTGCACATTAGCACGCCCGTTTCCTTCAGCATATTATTCACAGTTGATATGGATGTGAGTAATCAGATAAAATGTCTCCGACACTAATTTTCATAATAATAACAATTCCTCTCTTAAGATTAGTGTGAACCTAATAGTTAGCATGTCCGAGATGTTAATCTGAAGATTCATGGTTCGCGTCTGTTGTTGCAAACATGCACTCCGTACCTTGGGGCTGGGGATTCGCTATAAGAGTGACAATCAAATCCCATTATTCCGTCAGACAAAAGTAGCCCAAGAGTTGGCGGTTGGCGCTGTTGACTAGTATATCAGTTCAAAATTAGGGACGACTAGGCGCAGTTAGCCCTTTATTTTAGTTTGTGCTAAAATTCTAGAACAAGCAAACATTGAAGGTTCGTGAACTCTTACTTTTTCTAGTGAAATCTCGATTCTAACTGCTCACTTAAAAAAAAAAAACACTGAATAACATTGAGGATTTCATATGCAAATTGAGTGGTGATGATCCAATAACTATCACCATATATTTACATACACCATATATTACCTGTACTACTATGCTAATGTTTTTCGGTTTGACCGAACTGATGATCATACAAATATTCTTTCCTCAGCGGTAAGTCTAAAGGTTTATAACGCTAAAAACCGGGTTTTGATACCCGTAGTGGGAACAGCTTTATGTAGCTTTGTGCTTAACAACAAACTCTTAAAGTATTTTAACAACGTCTTATATTATTTATTACAGATAAATGTCTTAGCTTTCTCGAAGTGAAAAGTTGTGTTATGTAAAGTGTTTGTTATAGTACATTAGTTGCTGATACGTGAAAGAAACACGCAAGAAAAAATACATCACGTTAATAAAACCCGATAACATGCACGCTTTCCGAAGGTACCGTGTAGTTAACTGGTGAAACATAAAAAACAATAAAGGTAACAATAGGAATAGTTATGAGAAATGACCCCCCAGTGGCAAAGCAGTAGGTCTGTGGACTTACACCCCTAGAAACGGGTTTCGATACCCGTGGTGGGCAGAGCACAGATAGCCCTTTGCGTAGCTTTGTGCTTAACTACAAACAAACAAAATTGTGATAAAAATTACACTCTGGAATTTTTCTTTTTTTTTTACATTTCTCCCATTTAGTCCATTACGGACCTATATCACAAAAGTATTACAGATCTTTCTTTTGTGTGCCACAAAGTAACTGTTTAAGAGCCATAATTCAATATCAGAACACGTCAGCTGAGCTGGTTTATAATAGCAGCTAAACGTCTGTTCGAAATGTTATCCATATTCAGTGCGAAAAATATTATGTACAGTAAAGAAACTCGAAATAAGTGGAGAAGCAGCAACAATAATATACTTAATACTTGTGATTTACTTTCTGAATTTATCTTATTGTTCAATTTAACAAATGTAAAAAAAAACATTTTAAATATCATTTAGATACTTTTTGTCTTAAGACTACATTGGTACACCTTTCAACTTATTGTAGAACTAGCAAAGAGAATTTGAGCACTTTGTGAGATAAGTGTTAATTTCATGTCCAGTGCTAAATGAAAAATTGAAACAAAACTCTGAAAAGAAATAATAATTAGTGTTAACTTAACAAAATAAAGAGAGTCGTTTAGAGGTTATACAAACGCTTGCAAGGTACCTACCGTTTTCCTGTTAATGTGATGGTTACTCTAAAACGGAAGTCACGTGATAGAAAAGCATTTGTCCTGCATATAAAAGCAAACGAGGTTGGTAAAATACCTTTAAAATTCGATCGATGACTGGAGAGGCACATGATCACTCTTTTCGAAAAGAAATGTTGTTAAACGACACAACATTTTGAAGAAGCTAGTTACCAATATTCACCAAGGAGGCATAGAAACTCGCTTTGCAGAGCTATTAATATAACAACAGTCTCCAATATCATACCACAAGCTAATAAGGACAAACTCTCATTCGTAAAAGTAAAGTTTACGGTTTCGAAAGAGAATCATCCGACTCAAACATTAACTGAAATAGAGCTTGACCTGTCTCAAGATGCCATTAACAGGTTAACAGATAACAGTTTGAAGCTATCTCTCCGATGCAGCTCCAATGAGTTCTTTTTTCTATTTATATGTGCACTTAGAGAGTCGTAGGCCTATTAACCGATTTAGGGAAGAGCTACACAAGAGGAGAACTAACATGGCTGAAGAGGCCTCTCTCGTGGTTACATCGCTGATAAAGCTACTAAGGAAGCAAAAGAGCATATTCTATAGGAAAATATTATGTTTCTCACAATTTATTGGTAAGTCAAACTTAATCATCATTTTGACAAAGTTTAAATGACTTTCCGTACTTACACTGTACTTAAATATGAATTTATTTTTCATTTCTTTGTATCTATTTTTAAATGAGCATATATCAAATTCGTTCAATTATCGAATACTTAAGTCTTTGGGTTTTTTCAATATTTATGAAAACAGCTGTTTTGTTTTGGCTCATCACAAAGTCTTGAAAATCCGTATTCAAAACGTTCTTTGGAAATATATCATTAAAAAGATATGCGAATCTGCTCTTTCTCACCCCTTTGTAGATCTGTGCATAAGATAATTAGTTAAAAGAGGAATTACTTGTTTTCTTCATTGCAAAAAAGTCACATAATTTTACGTAAAAAAACATTTATTTCATTTCTTTTTCACAACTAAAAAGTTCAGTTTTAGATTACAAGTTTATTTTAAACATTAGATATATATTAAAAACATTTTTTTTATAATTTCAACTGGGTTTCCATTTATAAGAGTAGGATGTTAACCGAAAAATAAACCTAATCTTTCTAAATACAACTATTATAAAATCATGGGCTTAATTTGAATGCGAAGGAGTTTCAGGGGACACGAAATGCATAAAATTTAATAACTTACCTTATCCGACAGAGAACTATCCCTGGAGCTGATTCCAATCACAGGAATGTTGTAAAAACCACATGTGTACGATACAGCGGCTGGAGAAAGCTCTCCAGAGTTAGGATGACTGATGATCACGGCATATACCTAAAATACGCTTACATTTAAACCAACTAGATACTCATATTGATTACACACATTTAAAGGAAAATATAAGTTACATTACAACACGTACTATCGACAGAGATATGAAAGTTGCGGTGCATATATATACATATATATATATAACGAGAGACAGAATACGTTCCTTGCTACTCATTAGGAACAACTTAAAACGGATTAAATGGGTCTTATTTACTACTTTACATCTGAATATACGTTTTCATGTTCTGTCTTAGTCCAACTAGATCATAACAGTTGATAAAAAATTTCTATAAAACTTTTTAGTGGTGATTTAAGTATTTCAATACATTGTTCTACAAGTTGAAGTGTATCACCTACTTGTGGGAGTTGAAACATTCTGGACACAGATATTGTTTATGATAATAAGACATTTAGCTACTCAACTTTGCTGTGTTAATCAAAATGTGAAAGTATCTCTCAGGATTATAATGATGCCAGTTAAGATATAATTTTATTTTTGATGCCCGAAACATATAAATAGAGATATTTCTCATTTTTAATAATTGAAGCATACTAATATAAACATTGTTTTATGATAACTTACTAAAATTGTTGCTTTATTCTCATAAACCCAATAGCTTTCTTAAAATAATGAAATATTAAAGACAGTTTAATTAAATACTATCCTTCTTTTATATAATAACACAAAACACTAAAGTTTTAATTTATTGTTCAGTGGGATACTTAAGAAGCTTAACAGTTATTCCAATTATGTCTAGTTAATATAATCACAATGAAGACTGATGGTACTTTGTTAAAATGCAAATAAAGAATAGTTTTTTTTACAATTTCAAATTAAATTGAATGAGAACATTTTCAGTTACAATTTAGAAAAACTTATATTCTTCCTACTAAATCCTATTATCCTATGACGGTTAAAGAAAATAAGATTACATTATCAATATAACTGATACAATACTTCCTAAAAAATTAATTTGATTTTCAACTTATTGAAGCTACTGAATTTTTTAAACATTTCTTTATTTTGCAAACACTTGGAGGACATACGTGAAAGAGGGTTGTTTTTCATTTTAAAGCAATCGAAATGTTTAACAGAATAGGCATGTTTTAGTTTCTATCATCCATCACACCACGATTCAACGAGTAAGTTTTATGCTGCTAGATCATTCGTTTATTTATTACAGTGAGTGTTGGAACTTTGAAATTCTCACATTATATAGCATTCAGTATTAACAGTAAAACATCTCCAATTCTTAAGTGTTTGGAACTTTCTTATAGATACAAAACATTCAGTAAATACAAAATGAAAACTCATTCAACTAGTTCCGTTCAACTGAATACACAACTTAGCTGGTTTGATCATATTGAAGTAGTCAAAGCACTTGCTTTAGCTAAATTCTTTATATAACGTTAAAATATGTAAAAATCGGTTAAAATGCATTTTGAAAGTAAATCATAGATTTTAAAATTTACCTGGTTTAGATAAGAAATTCTCTCAGAAAAAACAGCAAATGTAATTTAGCAGTTCACATAGTGTTTACAAAGTTGATTGAGATTCACCACGACAGGAGATTTTTCCGAATTCACGTGAGAAACTTGCAAATATGGAAGCAGTAATAAGACTTTAAATAATGATTGAACTGTTCCTTAGTATGACTTAGTTATCCAATTATATCATATTACTATTTAACTAAAGCAAATGATGAGTGATTAGCGGTCTAGGGCAATAGGTTAATCAGACCATCAGTTGGGCTTTAAACTTGATATCAAAAAGCTTAGTTTCACATAAAACTGAAGTAATTTAATCGATCATTGTTGTAAAGACAAAAAAATAACAAAAAAGAAGAAGTCTTCAAAACCGTTAAGTTATTTTCAGCCCACTTGTATCATTTTTCGATATGTACACTCATTCAACAGACTCGAGTCCTTTTCCATAAGCATTGAACGTTATTATTAATTATTCAAGTTTCTAATGTCACATTTATAAATAATTATCATAATCTAGCACGTAAGATTTTCTAACTTAATCATGACGGTGATTAAAACAATATGATTAACTGGTGGTTTGAGGATTGAGGCGTTTTCCTTGTTTCACAGTTGGAATCACGAATAACGACTCCGTAATGTAAATTCTTCGAAAGAACATGACAAAATCATAAGCGAAAAAGATAATGTTCATTCTGTCACGATTATTTACTTGTTTTTGTAATTACAGCTCAGTACTGGACAACGATATTTAAGTGGAGTCCAACAGCTAAATTTTCAAATATAATTTTAACATTCTTATCAAAACATAAAGTAATTACATTAAGCTTAAGGTAATTTGAAGAATTAGAATACGAATATCTTAAAATCTTAACTGTGACAGAAACAAAGGAAACTGTAACTGAATTATTAACATTTAAAAAGAAGTGAAATAATAAAAATTGAAATATTAAATGCTATTAAAATAGATTATTTTTCTAAATTAAAAACGAAACAAGATGAAAATAAAAGATTACATACTCGCAATCATAAATAGAAAATAAAATAATGAAAATTTAAACAAAATATACATAAAAACACTGAAATTAAACTAAACATAGAAATAGAAACAAAAACTTACAATTAGGCCTAAAGCAAACAATAAGAAACATTGAGCCGTTACTTTGCGAAACAATATTGAACTGCTAAAAAACTCTTCGTTCAATTAAAACAAGTTTGCACGTTTTCAAAAACTGTGACACGGATGTATACAAATATTGACGATAGATCTACAAGAAACTGGCATTATACAGAATCCAGTATTGGTATTACAAAACTATTACGATAGTTGGCGTGAACATTATCATCATAAGAATAATCTTGTGATAAAAATTACTCTGACCTTGTTTACTGTACCATAGAATCGTATATGAACAAACTGGGCGAATACGTCTTATCTCTAAATATCACTTGTTTCATTAAACCGTATAGTGATTTTTCATATACTCTTATAAAGATAACATTTTATTGTGCTTGAATGTAGGATATAAGTATATAATCCCTATAAATAGCTGTTAACGGACCACTGTTAAAGTTACCATGTCATTCGTCTTGATAAACTAACCACCAGATTCTTTACTAATAGTGTGTTAATGTTATGTTTTAACATAAAGCTACACAATGAGGTATCTGCACTTTGTCCACTACGTACAATCGAACCCATAATTTAGCTTTGTAACTCCGTAAATGAATAAATGTTCCACTGGAGGACCTTTCTTGATAGAAAATATATTAAATTATCCCTAGTAAAATTATCATTATATTATTTCTGATAAAGTAATTATAAGAAGCATAATACTTAAATTTTCATCAATACGTAAATTTTTATTTAATCAATGAAAGTAGTAATCAACTTTTCATTTTTGTTGTTGTTTGGAATATGCTTAGTAAATCGCAGTTATTTTCTGATCATACAAGAGAAAGGATTATATATCCTGCATAACGACAATGGTTGCGTAATAAATATTATGAACGTGTTTGTTTGTTAAGAGTCATAATCTACATTTTGTGGAAGATATAATTTAATAGTGTGGTCAGGCGTAATATTTCCAAATAGAAAAAAATCACTTTTATAAATTGCAAGGAATACAAGCTTTAATATTACCTACGGTCAATAACTCTAAAGGAAATATTATAAGGATCCTCCGCTTTCAGTGCAAAATAATCAACTCTGGCTCAACTCTGGGCGGAAAAGAAATCACTTGTGCTTTTACACGCCTTCTGTTTCATTCGTTTGTGAAGACGTATAAAATGATGAGGGACAACAGACTGTTCTTGGTAATATATTAACTTTCCTGTTATTATTTAAGTACATTAGCAAATAGATATAACTAAACATTTTTTCATGAAAGTCCAGTCATTCCACGAAAGTTGCAACAATAAAAACAAAAAAAGAAAACCTGCTAATTTCAATTTGTTTTTTTACAGATTATTACTGTTTATTTGGAATGTTAAAATTGAGAACAGAGCTGGTTTTATACTTCCTAAAATGTTGGAAAAGTCCTTTGAAATTTATTTTCTCATGAAGACTAAAAACAGTCGCTGTTGACTGAAAAATAAAATATCTGATTGTATGCAGCCAACAATCAGCTCATGTCTCAATAAGTGCTAATAATTTCTCAAAATGTTTAATGCTAAAAAAAAAATTCATTCACCTTTCAGGCTTGTGAAATTTCTAAATTGGTAAGTGGAATAACTATGCGGTTTTGTCAGTAAGTTTGTCAGACAGAGTAAATTGATGAATCCTCCACACTGTTAAGTTGAGATTACACTCGCCTAGCATTAGAGTGAACTGTAAATCAAAACTTTTATTCTGTGTTTTCACAGTATATCAGGTTTTCTTGCTTTCAGACTATTGTCAGCTATCTTACAGACTGAACCTTACATGAGTTAATATTTCAGAATATTAATTCTTCTTCATACTTTTATGCTACTTCACTTTATAAAGTAGGTTATTTTATCCTTTTTGTTTGTAAGTAATTATAAAATAAACTTGATTTTGATGTTTTTATAATTAAGTTAACATCAAATTTATAACTAATTTAAAACAGTTTTTATAATAACTTATTCGTTTACAGAATAATTAGCGTTAAAACATAGTTTAAAGCTTTTGAAACTTGTCACTGTAAGTATTGTTATTAATCTAATTACATATTTGTCTACAGAACAATAAACAATTAGCTTAAAGCTTTTGAAACTTCTCACTGTAAGTATTGTTATTAATCTAATTACACATTTGTCTACAGAACAATAAACAATTAGCGTTGAAGCATACTGTTAAAGCTTTTGAAACTTGTCGTAATAAGTGTTTTACTTGTTTAGTTATTTATTTTTGAATCTTGTCGCCAGAAGTGTGTTGGTCTACAGAAAAATATACGTTTAGAGTTACGGAGTATTGTTGCCATAAGTGCGTTGATTTTTCTATGAAAAATAAACAATTAGTGTTGAAGCACACTTTTAGAGCTACAGAGTCTTGTTGCCCTAAGTCGTTATTTGTTTAACATTTTCGATGCCGTATGTATGTATACCAAAACGTTGTCCTCTTCGGTCATTAGACGTTATGTTTGAGCCTGATGTTTAGGACTTTAGTTTACTGGAGTGTTGTTTACAGTTGACAAAACATTCACTTTTTATGTTTACAACTAATTCAAGTTTATAGCACAGTAGATAACATAAATTATTTGTGACCACGTCTGTATGACGTAAGGAGTTTTAAGGTTAATACTTATTATTATTGTGCAATAAAGCAAATTTTGATTGAGGAAGACCAGTAATCTCTCTGAAAAAATGTGCATTAAATTGAAAGATTAACACATCAGTAACTTAACAATAGGCAAACCGCTGCGTTAAAGCAGTTTCTTTAAAGTTCTCTCAAGAACAACAACAAAAAACTAGGTAGTTAAATGCAGAAAATTTAATATAAGCAAAAAACATTTTCACTGTTTTTGCACAAAAAAAACGAATTTAGATTTAATAAAATTTAAAACCAGGTGTTGCATATCTGTGAGATGAACAGGTTGGGCTAATAACTTAATGTGTCTGTCAACTCAAACCCATCTTAAGTTTACTGTAATATGATTATTATTCTTTGTACTTACTTAGAAGTTGTTTGTGTAAAAGATTTATTGAAGAAAATAAAGTTTATAATATTGTCCTCGATCACATGGGGCCTATTATTGTAAATTATGTTGAAACGAAATTTGTTAAATGAACCATACAATAAAAACATAGACAAATTGATCCTCGATCCAGTTTACAAAATAACTGCCAGTTGTTTCAATTTTCTGAAGGTAATTTTGCTTTGTGTGCTTAGCACCTCTGACATGGTATTAATTTTTGTTCTTGTGTATTGTAAGGAAGCTCAGAGAGAAAAACAACAGATCGATATTTCAACCAAGAAACGAAGTATTTCTGATCGTACGACATTATTTACGTTTAATATAACTTATCTAAACGAAGAATAATATAAAAATTGTTAATGTATTCAATTCAATAAAACTAAAAGCTCATACACAAAAATAGTTATGAAATCGTAACTTACCGTGGCATTTATTAAAACTGTACACACTTTTTGGGCTGTACGAATAGGGTTAGGGTTCATAGGTACAGTTTCAGCGTAAAGAGAGTACCCTGGCGGCAGAATATGTTCGTTGGAAATGTTTTCGATAACTTGGGTAAAGTAATCAGTGTTATCACCGGGACTAAGAACTGCACCAATTTTGAAAATCTCAGAGTTTTCAAATGCTATAGCAAAGCTACCTACGGAATGATCGTGTTGGTGGGCGGAAAACAAGATACAAAAAATGACAGTTTGAAGCGCCCTCTCTACGACAAATTGGAAAGTTGCTATAATTTTTCTATGAAGAAACCCTGAATGAGCAATACGTGCCATTGTTGAGGCAAACAAAGAGACACAGTCATAAACACTTTTCAGAAGAAGGTCTTCTCAGTGAAACTCTGATCATCATCATCAACTGAAAGACAAGAAATTAATAACAATGATAAATAATATAAATTAACCTCATTTCTAAACAAACTCAAGTGGTCTCATAAACTTACAATTAAACACGCTTAGAGAGTGTCAGATTTTTTAGTGTTAGTTTTCTCGTCAAATTTTATTTTTAAACTTATCTAATGTTATGGTAGAAAAATCACTGAAACAGGAGTGCATGGAAATAATACTAGTCGTTTGAATATTCAAATATATTTTATCTGAAATGTTAATCTGTCAGATTATTATCATTTTTCAAGTTTATGATAAATGTGTAAAATATTTATTTAATCACACATAATTTCCAACAATTAAAACTGGAAGTTCATTTATGAAATTACTATGAATTCTACTGTTTTTAATATTTTTTACTCTGATACACAACACACCTGAAAATATTTACATATAATTGTACAAACGTTTATAAAACTACTGCTAAACTATCGAAGTTTGAATCAGGGAACTGATGCATTTATTAATCCAAATCAATGATGGTATTGCCTACAAACACAAAAACAAACACTTAGAGTAAATACGTAAATGTTTTCACATTGTTCTTGTATAAACTAAGATCAGTAATACGGTCGCTAGAAAAATTCTGAACTTTAAAGGCAATCTAACATTTACTGCTAATATATATGTAATATAACATAACTGTAATACCTATGATAATTTAATTCACATCATTCTTTACCTAACTAATATGGGTTTCGTAAAAAGTTATAATAGCATTTCACCATACCTTGTTAGCCGTACCTCGCTACAAAGAGTTTGTTTATTCGTAGTTAGGCACAAAGCTACACATGCTACGAAGAAACTTTACGTGCAGTACTAGTCTTTTGTGAAACTTCATTTATGAAACACCAAGTTTCACGATGTAGAACACCTTAGTTGTTAAAGAATCGCATAATAATAATAATATTTGTGCAACATTACCTCACAATTAGAGCTGACAAGGCGCTCATCATCCTAAGACTTGTTTTCCCAGAAACGACTGAGGGAAATATTATTTCAGTTAAGACTTGTGTGTTGTAACCCAGCCTGCCTGATGAGCTTTGGTACTGATCGATAGGTTTAGTGGGCAGCGACATACAACTAGGAAGTCGAAATATTATTATACACTCCTCTTACTGGAAACCCGTAATGTTCAGAAAAGAAATCGTGTAATATAGATTATTATTATTGTAACTGTGAAGTCATTTCGCATACGTATTATTATCAAATGGCAAGCTTCACTATTTAATGTTTTTTAAACCATACAACAGGCTAACGTTGCTTGATAATTCTGATAATTACCGTCCTGTAAAGTCTATGGAACGGAATAATGGAACAGAAAATATCCGAAACAAGACCAGAGCACCTGTGCGTTTACTAAATTAAAAAGGCTCAAGTTTCACCTAGTCGTAGGAGAGAAACGAAGATTCGAATCCCACCTACATTTAATTTATTTTATTTTACAAAATCCACAAGACAGAGAAAAGAGAGCTTCATTTCCCTATTAACTGAAATTAATAATGCTTCATTAATTTTAATTTTGTTATTTTAGTTCTGTTTTTTGATCTTTCTTTATAATTATTGTTTTATATGACTAAATCTTTTGTCAACAAGGCAATTCTATTTCTTATGTAACAAACATATATTTTTGTTCGCATCCTCGATGCTTCTCGGAATCACATACTGTTGATATTAATAGTTCTTAATTTCATTATTATTCGTCTCATGCATTGGTTAATGTGTAAAATTAAATATATTTTAACAAGACTAGTCTTCATATTTTTAGCTGTATGTATATATAGCTTTCTCATAATTTCCAAAACATTATTATTATCACGATAATCAGATTGCCAGTGAAAGTAAGATGAAGTTAATAAGAGCCGGATGAGTTTATTTATTGTTCAGCTGCACCTAATTCTCTGACGTCTATCAACTCCTTAATGGTTTCTGCTTCACTCATTTGATATTATTCGAGTGGCTGCTTCTATTACATACAAGACACTATCGGTCCGCTCTTTCTCCGCAGCTAGCATGATGATGACGTCAGGCCATCGCTTCCTTGGCTTGTTAGGTTTTATCATAAACTGATAGGAAAATCTATCTTGTTCGCATCTGTGCTCGTATTTCATTGAAGTATATCGTGCAACGTGTGACATTCATATATGTATATATTTATAGCTTCACTTTTTTAAATGAAATTAATTTTTTATTTTGTGAATATTTTAGTCAATTCTTTATATATTTGCCGTATTTAGAACTTCTTTTACTTAAAGTATTGTGTACTTTGTTTGAAGAGCAAGAAAGGAATGGTAGAAGTTATTTCAATGTTATTTGAGGCAAAATGTGTTTATACTGCTGCCAAAAGGTTTCACAGTTCCGTAAGCTTGGAACAAGAAAATCTAGTGTCTTTGATGATGTTGAATTTATCAGTGTGAGAGCTTTTACGGACGGTATTTAGTTTTATAGCTAGGACTGTTTAAACCTTTAAGATCTGATACTGAGTGCTAGACCTCGTTGGAAGCAGTGTAAAACAAATAAAATGTAGTTACACTGCTATTATTCACTCTTCGTACCAAAAACTCACCTTAGACTATTTTAGAGCAAACAGTTTACGCCGGAAATCCATCTTGGATTACTTCAGAGCAATGTATTTAGACCGAAAACTCATCTTGGATTACTTCAGAGCAATGCGTTTAGACCGGAAACCCACCTTGGATTACTTAAGACCAATGCCTTTAGACCGGAAACCTACTTTTGGCTACTTCAGAGCAATGCTTTTAGAATTGCAATCAGTCTTTTTGCGATGTTTTATCATCCTTGTTACAAAAACAAAAATTCGTGCTTTGACAATTTAGAATTTGATTTCACAAGCTAGATTGTTACCTTAAAGAGGAAATCAGTCCTTTGGTTAAAAGAAAGTTGATAATATTTCGCAGTAATCCAAATTAATTCTTCAATACATTATGAATTAAGCAGTTATTATTCTGCATTTCTTTCATTATTTAACGTATTTCGTAGCAATTCTCTTACAAGATTTTTCTAGTTGTAATCATCTATTGGATTTACTAATACAAATGTTAAATTTAAATACTTTTAATTTCATTATTAATATTAACTTCTGATTAGCAAGCTACCTACTTAAACTGAAATTAAAATCAACCCGGTAATGAGTAAAGCTAATAATGTATATTGTTCTTACTGTATTACTTTTTTGTGGCTATAAGCAACCTAAATGTCATTTCAAACCAACAATATTTTTAGTGTTACGTTTGTGTACGAAAAATAATTAAGGAAAGCATATCTTTATGCTAATTCAAATGTATTCATTCAAACATACTTTAAAAATAAAATATAATACAAAGATAGGAAAGAGACTTTATGGAAATTATGAACATACTGATTTAAAAAAATAACCGGTGCTTGTTTTACTGGCCTTCATAAAACTTAATATGTAATGTAATTCTTTGTAAACACTTTTACACTTTTACTGTTCAATTTCTTTGAAACCGGAACAACATTCATTACTTTTAATGTGTCTGCTTATGTTGCAGCAGTCGACAGAAATGATTCATTATTCGCACAGTGTTTCAAATAACTAAAGAATCGTTAGTTTTATAGAACGGTGATATGTTGGCCAGTTCAATCGCTTGATAGTTTCTTTTTTAGCTAAGCACGGTGAAGGTGTACGTTTTCCTTCACCAGAATACAGTGCTGACCAACTGTACCTCCTGCATATGGCAACACTAGTGGTTGTATGATTGCATTCCTATATTGTATGGCATTCATAGTGCCATGTTTCAGCTTTTAAAGGTCATTGTGGCTACCCATACTTATTCCTGCCCAAATCAGTATGCTCTTTGGTTTGCTTTTCTATGGTGAAATTGGAGTTGGATCTGGTCCTGAGTAATCTCCAGATGTGTAAATAGCTCGGATCTGACTGCAAAGTGAAGCGCGATTCACCGTGAACAATACATTTATACTTGTTTTCTTGACACCACTGAAGATAGGCTGTTTTGTGACGATAAGTAAGAATATCCACATCATTGTCTGGCCGTTTACAGGTTCATTTGTCATCAACTTGCTGTTTTGAACTATTGCTTCAGTTGGAAAGGTCTGTTGCTTCGAGCACATGGATCAAATAACGGTCATTTTGTCGTTTCGTGGACCATATCCATACTACTGGTCAACGATACTGATGAGAAGAAAGCGAGACCACTGTGTGTGAAAATTGTAGCCGGTCTGCAGTGACTTGCTGCGTGTGCCTAGCTTCTAGTCACTCTATAGTCCCCAATGTCATGGAAACGTCTTCGTTGGGATCCTAGTATGTTTCGCTGTTAATAACGGTCTCTTAACACATCAGCTGTAGTTCAAACCGTTAATTGATAATACACTGTGCTTCCTCCACTTTTCTACACAAAAGTACTGAAATACACATATAAGATCAAATCACACTTGTTTTGACAACAATAAGCTCAGGGATTCCGGTGAAAGTGTTTAATAACAGTCATTAGAGTAGTGAAAACTTTGATTATTCCTTAATTATTTGACCAGTGCACGTACAAGTTTAATTAAACGTAGAACTATATACGTAAAAAATAAATGTAAAGAAATAGAACAGAGAAGAAGGTTAGTAATATTATGTTACAGTACACATTGTAAATATTTCTAAAATTATCAACATTCGATAATGAATGACGTTTAATGGCATATTTATATATCAAACCGACCTATTTCTACCGTACTTTCTAGAATACAGATATTTTGAATATTCTTAGATAAAAGTGTAAAGCTATAACAACCATGAAAAGATTTAATTCGTATATAATTCTAAATTTATGTTAATTGTGTTTTGGGGTATAGTACATAAACAGTGCCCTTACAGGAACAGTTAAACAGTGTTCATATCCACAAAGGTTCTGAATAGTTCAGTCCATGATATCTAACTGAGAAGATATTTGTTTGTTTAAGTGCATGTCGTTAAGTGCATGGCATTTATTCTTGAGTGTTCTCTATCGGCTTCCACTTACAAAAAGAGCAAAAGATACTACGTAATTGAAGAATACAAATCAGTGATACCTTTACCTGAATAAAAAGATTTTTGTTTGAATACAATTTTTTACCCTGGTATATAAAAAACGTAAATTTAAAAAATAATTCAATGTAAAGTCCAGTTACTTATACACCATCAAAAAAATATGGTGTCCCAAGAGTAAAAAATTATTTTTCATTGTGTTTATGCAACTTAGAACAGACAGGTGGCTTAACACATCTTGGAAGTAATCTACATACACACTGAACTAAGACATTAACCTTTAGCTGTGTTACAGAGCAAACAGGGTGTGGAGCGAACTATACAAGAACATCAACAACCTACAATACCGAAAAGCCCGATCGTTTCCAGTAAAATCTTCAGTTTTATATCTTCTTTTATGGAGCTCAAGGGACTGAAACTAGTGATCCACGTGAAGGTGTCGTGAAGTCAGATCAGAGAATAGAGAAATGCATTAGAAGCTACTGTCAATCCCTAAACAAATAACCTAAGACGCGGCGGTGCTATTAAAGCCTTGTCTTGAATGTCACGTGAGCGGGTATGTGTTTCCTGTCACCCTTGCCCATACGAAATAATGAGCACTTACATAACGCTACCTTTACCAGTGTCTAGTATGTGTAACGGAAATTTCGAAGATAAAGGCACGCAAAGTGCAGAAAGTACTCTTGACAGTTAAACCCTTAGGAAGACAGTACTTTTTTTCATCTTTCCACTAGCATAGAAATTACAGTCTAAACAATATCTATATCCTTATGAAAGTGAGTTTCGTGTATTGTTTTATACTCTCAGGATGTTTACGACAGGAAAAATTAGTCATTTATGAGCAATAATACCTGAATACTAACAAGGTATAGCTAAGAGAAAGCTCGACTGATATGTATAAATGGCCAGTTACATGTAAAATTTATTGA